AAGGTGGGGTGTTTTCAAAAACTTTCAATTTTGTTTTTTTGATTTACAGAAAAACCTTACATTTTCAATGTTTATTTATTTACAGAAAATCGTATTTTTCCGACCTTTTGGAAATTTCCTCAATTTTTTTATATTTTCTTTAGAGTTCTGTTTACTTTTTTTATTGAAGTTGTTGAAATAAATAAACACCTTTTTCCTCGTTTTCATTGCTTGACTAAGAGTACTTGAAACAGCATTTATTTAACATTTTGTGAAATATTTAAAACAAACAATTGTTAAAAATGGGATGGTAATAAAATTACAACAACATTTTTGTATATTATATAAGCACTTTTCCTTGTTTACTCCACATTACAACAAAGCTAAGCTGTTCGTAATATTTTTTTTTTTTTTGCTAGAAATATGTAATTAATATAATTTGCCTATAGGGACACACGGTTATGTAGGCATCTCTATATCTGGCTGGACTTGTCTTAAAGGACACATAGTAGGCCGTACTTATACAGATTGCAGTAATTTCATGTGGATATTGGCTGAGGTTGAATTTCTGTAGGAAAATGTTTTTTATTTGGAATACGTAAAGACAGGTGGTTAATAGAAATCGTTAAAAATGAGTGAAAGAGGTCTAAAATATTAAAAGTGAAATGAATAGCGCCTTCCAAGGAAAAAATTGTTACAGTTCACTCGATTTTTGTGTTTATAATTCTTTTAAAAATCAAAGGTATTTACAAAATTTTTAACTATTTCAAAATTTAAAACTTTTAAAAAAATATACTTGAAAAAATATTGTGATTATTGCTTTATATTAAAATTATTGCAATAGTTTAAATATTTTTTTAGAAATATCCACGGTTATTGCTGTTTCTTAATAAAATATTTTTTAAAGAAATACATAAAAGGACAAAATCCATTTCAGGACATTTGGAGTAAGATTTTCGTCCTTCCGTATGGTTGGCGCGAGTATGGTAATATTATTATTAAACTTAGATCGAAGAAAAAGATGGACAATATCGGTCCACATCTTCTGATGCCTCCCACGCAAAAGGTCAAAATTCCGTAAGATAATAACTTAACTCATAAAGAGAAAAATCGTTATCCAATTGTTTCATACAAATATTTTTATAAGTAAAAGGTCAGAATGGACAATATCGGTTCAAACCTACTGAGACCTCCTACAAAAAGGGGTCAATATTTTGTATAAAATACGCAAAATAAGCTATCGTAACTTTTTAAGGCTCATTCAATACCAAATTCTACCAAATATAGTACTATATAATAATTTCGTACACTTGTTGATGAAAATTTCACATTTGGTGTTGGGGTCGGTGGTTCGGAAATGCATAGTATAATTTTACGAAAAGTAATATATTTTTTATTGCGTGAAGGGATTCTGAAATTTGATATTAAGATTACAGATGGTATCTGTGAAAATTTCTGATTGGTACTTTATTGTGTAATGGGTGAGGGGGTAGGGTACAGTCCTCCTCAAATTTGATATTGAGGTCTCTGTTGGTGTTTATGGTTAAGATGTGGAGGTGGCTTTGGAAATGTGTACTATAAATGTTCGAAAAGTTTGGTATTGGGTGAAGGGATGGAGCTGAAATACCGAAATTTCACACTGAGGTCTCATTTGGTATCTGAGGTTGAGATATATAGATTATTTTAAAAATGAGTATGTTAACTGTACGAAAGGTACTAAATATAACTAAATTTAGTATAAGGCGAAGAGATAGAGTGGGAATCCTGAAATTTGATATAGATTTCGCTGTTCTTGTCTGTGGTTCAAATATGGAATTTTTTTAGAAATGTGTACTATATGTGATCGAAAAGTAGTAAATGGTACGACGGTTGGTGTCTAGGATGGAGAGATGTAAATTATTTTGGATTAGCGCACTAAATTTGCTGAAGAAATAGAGCTCAAATTAGGAAATTTGATATTGAGGTCACTTTTGGTTTCTGGGGTTTGGATCTGGGGATGTTAAAGTAATTTTGTGCAGGAAAATTGGATGTGCAAAGGTTTCACCAATTTCCTCCTCGATAAGGGAAAGTCTGAAAATTTAGTACGATGTACGAAGTTTTAATTAAAACAATTTTGTCAAACTGAACGAATTGTGCATTTGTAGTGCAAAAAAGGCCTAACACGAACTATTGGAAGGAATCTAAATTGACTTTTCGCTGACGAAGTAGCGGATGCTAGCTAGTAAATTAAAATAGCGTAATAGAAAACCAGCAAAGAAAGATCAAAAGGAGGGTGGGCCGATTATATGATACCCTGCACCACTATGCATATTTAGTATTATGGCCTTAAAGCAGTTATAATGTGAAACGGAAGAACTTAAATAAAATAGTTATGTCCTACTTTGAATCTTTTTCCACTAACTTTGACGGAGGCATTTCTGTCTCTAAACTTTGAGAACGTTTAAATAAAAATGTATATTTAGGAGCTTTATCTATATCTGATCCGATTTTTACCAAACAACATCCTTATTACAATAAACGTGAAATCGGATAAAGAAATATATTGGAGCTATATCGAAATCTTAGCCAATCTCTAAAAAAATTAGCAGAGGTGTTTCTATGCTGTAGCTGAAAGCTGGCTCCAAATATCGTTATTGTGTAGTGCAATTTACGGGTGTGAGGGACTTGAATACAAAAAACGGGCTAAACATAAATATAGGACCCATAGCTATGTCTCAAAATATTTTCAATAAATTTGACACGCTTTTTTTAGACTGAATTCAGTCGTATGAGTCAAAATCCATTTAATCCCGACTGATATTAACCCTTCGGGGCACTAAGTTTAAAATTGGACAAAGATACATATGGGACCTATATTCACAACTGAACCGATCTCTATAAAATTTAGCAGAGGTATTTCTGAACCTTTTGCTCGAATATCGTTGTTATGGAATGTATATTACAACTGTGAGGGACCAAAATAAGTAGTCGTTACCTGCTAAGAACCTTAAATATTAATTTACAGATGATTTGGTTGAAAACTTTTAAAATACCGAATACTTGAACCTTTAAAATACCGAATATCAGGAGGTTTCGTTATATGGGGCCATATCTGAGCGTGAAGCCACATATCCCATTTCCTCCAACAAACATCCTAGGAATAATATTAATGACTTTGCAAAATTTTGAGGCTCTGAATTTTACTCTGATCATGAATGTACACACACATGGGGTCTCCGAAGGATATTCTGAAGGATTTTAAACGAAATGGCATATAAAATAAAACCTTCAGTCCATTTGTTTACAATTTTTGTGGAGGATGGTATTGGGTAAATTGGACTGGTATAGGCCTCATTCATAAATTGATCTAAGTTTCATAGAAATACTTTCTTTGTACTATCCGTGCATTTAGATCCTTTAATTCTACTATCTTTTAAATAAAATATATTGTACTAATAAATTATAATTTAGAGCAATGTAGCCATAAATCTGAGCAATTGACCTTTTAATTGAGACACATCGCAAGAAAATTTCAGGGTTAAAATAAGATTCAAATTGATTGAATAAAAAAGCAGCTACGTTCGGCCGAACTTTTAAAACCTTCCACCATTTAGAAGGATCTTCAAGAATATCTGTCGAAAAATACCACTTAAATGATAACCGTTATATGGGGGCTATACGAAGACGTGGACCTGCATAAGTAAATTTTTGTCATAGTTTGTAGTACCGATTCCGAAATACGAAATGTTAAACAATTCCGTTAAATAATGTCGCAAATATCATCAAATTTCAAACACTTTCGGTGAATGATGTTGCTAATATCATTAAAATGCCGGATAAATGAAAGTGTATAGACAATTTTTCATTATTAGTTCTAGTAGTCATTAAGAACTTCAAACTATAAATACGAATTTTGAAACAATTCCCATCAAAAATGTCGCTAAAATCATAAAAATACCAAATAATGGGGGGCTACCATTATATGGGGGATATACTATCGTGGATCTATGTATACAATTATCTTTCAGGGTAAAAAAAAAAACATTCAGAGGGAACTCCTTGTGTGGATTTTTAGACAACTCCATTGGAAAATGTGGCTAAAATCATCAAAATATCCAATATGGGGCGTGCCGTTATTTGGGGGCTATACAATATCATGAACCGATAAAAGCCTGCAAAAAAAAACTGATCTGTGCAAAATTGTAGCTTCCTATCTTTTTTCGTTTTGACTCTAACGTGATTACAATGACGGACATGGCTAAATAGTCTTTTTTTTACGCTGATCTAGAATACATATATTTCGTTAGGTCTAAAATTATTATTATTTATTATTATTTCAAACGGAATGACGGACTTAATATACCCTCCATACAATGTATAGTTAAGGGTGTAAAAATCATCTAAGTAGCACATTATGCGAATATTAGATCCCTGAGATATGTATAAAATATACGAATGCTAAACGCGTTAGAAATAATCTCGTTGAAAAAAAATAATTCTTTTTTGGACACATTGCCTTTCATTCATTTTAATTTAATGTTTAAAATATTTATTTATTTTATATGAAAAACGGTAACCTACGACTAAACTTTGAAGATATTCTCTATTTCACTGAGCAGATGTGCAAATTTTAAAATCTACTTTATCATAAACAATATTATCATATAAACGGCCACAGCCATTTAAGGTGCCACAATTTCAAAGCATACTTCTAGGCGCAAGTTGATTTTATGTGGGAATATAAAAACGTTGTATATGAAATATCAATTATTATGAATGATCCTAACATTTTCAATGAAAAAATTTAAATTGGCCAAATTTCATTGTAAATTCCAATTGCTATGTTTTTATTTTGAACTACAGTAGCAGCAACAACAACAACAAATTTCGGTGTTAAAAAGTAATTTAAAGCATTTTTTTTCTATTATCTACAAAATTTGTTTAATAAAGCCAAGCGCAATTTGTTTTTAAGCAACAGATGAGTAATAGCAATTGGATGTGGATGGTGTTGATTGGTGGTTGGTAAGCATTTAAGAACTCACTTGATTCACAATGGTGGCCTGCTCCTCAGCCACATCCTGTTGATGGTCCCGTGTTGGCATCGGTGTAAAGGTGCTGGATGGTGGGACATAGCCACCGGATGGATTCAATTTGGGGAATACTGTTTGGGGCAGCGTATTGATGGGTTCCTGTAGGGCGTGTTCATATTGGCCGGGTCCGGGTAGGAAGGGTGAGGGGGCTCTGGCAACAAAAAACAACAAATAAACATTAATAATTATGTATTTGTTATTATTTTAGGTACATCACAAACCTATGAGGTTGATTTGGATCTGAACCAGCTGAGAGTAATGAGGAATTCGGTCTAGAATTGTCAGGACTTAGACCCTGGGTATAGGCAATTTTACTGTCCCTGTAGAGAGAGAGAGAGAGAGAGAGAGAGAGAGAGAGAGAGAGAGAGAGAGAGAGAGATAAATTCATCATACATTTCAAAATTGTTAATTATCTGATGCCCACCTGTGCACAACAAGACTTATTTCATTGCCGGCGGTACGGAATAACATCTGGGCATCGGCATGGCTAACATCTCTGGCATCATATTCTCCAATTTTAGCAATAATATCACCACGCAACACTTCACCAAAAGCAGGGCTGCCCACTTGAACCTTTATGAGAATACAAAAGAAAAAAACATATAAAACATAAATATTCTATTTATTTGCAGATATTTTTTATGCAGCTGTTTGTTATTTTGTTTTATTAGAAGGCTACGCATAGATTGACGTATTCATGTGTAGTTTATCTTCAATTCATTCGATATTTGCATTAACCTTCTATTAATTCGGTCAATCAGTTTTATTTTTATATTTGAAATTTTCGTGTAGAATGCATTAGAGACACGCAATTTTTATTGAAATTGTCTCATGATCTCGGGGAGAGAGCTAAGAGAAGTCCTCCTACAGGTTTTCTATGAGAATACCTTCTAGCGGTCTTCCATGAGAATACCTACTATAGGTCTGCTATGAGAAGACCTCCTCTAAGTCTTTCGCGAGAAGATTTCCTTCCTCCTTGTATTCTATGTTCTTCTCTGAGAAAGGACTTTCAGTTTTTCGCTGAGAAAGGACCTTCTCCTCTTCTCTGAGATGGAACTTCTGTTCTTCTCTGAGAAGACATTTTGCTTTTCTCTGAGAAGACCTTCTGCTCTTTTTTGAGAAGATCTTCGGCTCTTCTTTGTAGAAGAATTGTAGAGAGATCTCTGAAAATCGCATAAAGGCAAAAAACTGCCTAGGAAGGAACCGATATATGGGAGGTATATCCAAATCCGAGTTGATTTCCACAAAATTTGACGGAGGCATTTGTACCTCTCGTACCAAATAATATTGCTATAGAGTACATGAAATACCTTCAAGGAGGCTTCAATTTATATCGGATCAAAAGATTTATGGCAACCGAATTTCACCAAATGGAAAAATTCGGTTGAATGTGGAAAAATCCATTCAATTTGGGCAGATATAAAATATCTGGTGAATAATAATTATGAAATCGGAAGGAGATATATATGAATGCTATATTCAAATCTGAACCGATCTCCCTTAAATTTAGCTGATGTATTTCTGAGCTGTATCTGATATCTGGTACCAAATATCATTGTTATTTTGTGCATATTACGAAAGTGAGGGACTTAAACACCAAATCGGATGGAAAATATATATGGGACCTACAGCCATATTTTAGCGATTTTCGATTTTAAATTTGAAGTATTTACTTCTAGGCTAAGCTCGGTTGGATATGCTAAAATCCACTCTATTCATGCTGATATTAATCATTTGGAGCAAAAAAAAAAAAAAAAAACGTCAATCGCATAATGAGATATAGCAGAGCTATATCCAAATCATAGTCGATGCCGATAAAATTTAGCAGCTGTATTTCTGAGCTGTATTTGATATCGAATACCAAATATCATTGTTATTTTGTGCATATTCAGAAAGTGGGGAACTTAAACACCAAATCGGATGAAACATACATATGGGAGCTGTGGCCATATCTTAACCGAATTTCACCAAATTTGAAGTATTTGCTTCTAGGCTAAATTCGGTTGGATGCGTTAAAATCCTCCCTATTCACGCTGATATTAACCATTATGTGAAAAAAAAACCTGAATCGGATAATGAGATATAGCAGAGCTATATCCAAATCATAACTGATGCCGATAAAATTTAGCAGCTGTATTTCTGAGCTGTATCTGATATCTAATACCAAATATCGTTGTTTTTTTAGTGCATGTTGCAAATGAGAGCGACTTAAACACAAAATCGGATGAAACATACATAAGGGAGCTATAGCTATATCTGAACTCATTTTCAACAAATTTGAAGTATTTGTTTCTGGGATGAATTCAGTCGGAATTGCCAAGATTCAATTCATTTGGGCTGATATTAGGCATTATTTGCACAATAAATCTGCAATCGGATAAAGGATATATATGAGAGCTATATCCAAATCTAAGCCGATCTCGATAAAAGTTGACAGAGGTATTTCTGGTGGTACCGTGATACTGGTAGCGCAACCCCTACGTCAAGAAAGTGGACGGAAGAAAACAGCAACATCAGCAGAAATGGTTTGAAAAGTAAAGAAGCAACATGATCGAAACCCGTGTCACAGTGGCCGAAAAATGGCTCGTGAGCTGAACATATCGCAATATTCCATTCGGCAAATATTGAGAAATGAGCTCGGGGTAAAGCCATGGAAATTCCAAAATGTGCAAAAACTTAGACCGCAACAGAAAGATAATAGACTAAAAAGAGCTAAAGAGTTGCTTCGCTTGGCCAAAAGTGGTGAACTGCCGAATTTGGTTTTCTCCGTCTCCGATGAAAAAACATTCGTTGTCCCGCATTTTGTAAACAAATAAAATGATCGGGTTTCTACTTGTCAAAGAGGTCAGCTGAAAATGTGAACCTTCGGTTGGCCACCAGAACTCAAGCGCCCGCCGGCCATGTAGATGGTGTGGGCCGCCATAACAGCTGATGGTTGCTTTCCGCTCGTATTGATCGACCGTGGCATCAGAATAAATGCCGAATATTATCGCGAAAATATTCTGGAGGGTGTATTAAAGCCTTGGACATTTTGGACGCAGACCTTGGACATTCCAACAGGACTCGGCACCACCGCATTCAACACGCGCCACCCAAGAATGGTTACAAAATGAGGTTCCTCGCTTCATTTCCAGCCCACAATGGCCATCAAAATCTCCGGATACCAATCCGTTGGACTATTGTGTCTGGAGTATATTGGAAAGCAAGGTTGGCACTATAAAATACCAAAGTGTCGTTCACCTCAAACAAGCGCTTCGCCGGGAATGGGCCAAAATACCGCAAAACAACATTCGGGCAGCGTGTGACGGTTTCATTGGCCATTTGAAGGTCATAATTCGTGCCAAAGATTACCAATTCGAACAAATCTAAACTTATTCTACAATTTGATGCTATTTCCGAAATTTTTTGCTTGAATTTAAAAAATTTTGAAAAAAAAATCTTAAAATTATGGCGTTTGACTTTGTTGCATTGTTTTTATCTCACCATATATGGGAGCTATAGATGTATCTGAACTCATTTTGAACAAAATTTGAAGTATATGTTTCTACGATGAATTCAGTTCATTTGGTCATTTGGTATTAGCCATTTGGTGCACAACAAACCTGATATCAGGTAAAATTATATATGAGAGCTATATCCAAAACTGATCTGATCTCGATAAAATTATAAAATAAAATTTGAAAGATGAAATGGATGAAACATATATATAAAAGCTATAGCTATATCTGAACCGATTTTCTCGAAAAATTCAATATAGTTGCTTCTAGCCCGAATTCGATCGGATATTTCAAAATTGTAGCTTTAATAGATCACCCAATAATAACCCAACAATAATTTTTCCACTTGTCATTCACTTTTAGTACCAATATTCAAGACCTCTTTAATACAATCAGGATCTTTTCGATCATTTAATGCTAATAGTCTTAACTTTTAGTACCTATTGTAGCCTTTAAATGTAAAATTTCCTAAGCCCAATTATGTTTTCCCAAAATTAAAAATTAAATTGCCTCAAAAGAACTAAGTTCATTACCAAAAATCCGTGTAGTTCCTGATTCCTAGTATCTATCTATAATGGAGTTTTTTTTTTTTCTAAATTTAAAAATTTCTAAATATTTTATTTTTTCGAATTTGTATTTTTTTCAATTTAATTTGCAACCATTGATTCGAAATGAATAATTCATTCAACAAACCCCCAATAAATTTGTCAAAAAGACAATGTATATAAGAATTTTCAAACAATTATAATTTGATTTATTATGTCTTGCCGCAGCCGCTGCCGCCATTGGCCTTGGCTATTTTCAGTTGCTTTTGTTTTCATCTGCAAAAAAAAATACCAAAATCACCGTCTGATGAGAATTTAATGAGAAATATTTGTGAACGAAATTTATTAATTTCTTTTTTATTGTAAATGTTTTTTTTTATACAGTAGTGTACAAAAGTTCTATATTTGATTCTGCAAACTGATTACACTTTAAAAAGAGTAGCATTAGGACAGCTCATTTGGGGCATTTCAAAGAAAGCAGTGTTCTCAGTTGGTTCTCAACACAAGATTTTTTAGAGGTATTTCGAAAGGACCAGCTCATTCTTTACAGGTTTCTGTGGTACTCTATAGGCCGAAAGCCTTATAATGAACCCGAGGTCCCAAGTTTTTTGTGAATTTGGTAGAACTGGATATATTTCATCACAAAAAAAATACATTATTTTGGTCTCTTGGTCCTGATATGTAATATGTTGAAAAAATGGATTCTTTGGATAAAGCCGAAAATGCTTAGAGATTTAAAAGAGTCTGGGGAAAGGTCAAAAGTGAAGAGTTCTTCACGCGACTCTTCTCTGGAGATTTATAAAATCAAATCAAATTTCAATGATCAACTACTTAAAAGGATAATTACTTCGGATATATTTAAATACAACCATGGAAACCGAATTGATGAACCCATGAATGAAAATGAGCTGCAATTTTGTCATAGAGAATAAATCAAAATTCCAAGCTTTTATACCCTCAGCCATATAGCTAGAGAGGGAATATAAAGTGCCTCATCGAAATTTACGGGTTTATACTAGGTATCTTTGGACAAAAACCGATTCAGGATTTTTGGAGTCGGTCTAGTGATGTCCGTCTGTCTGTTTGTGTGGCTGGTGCGCACGATAACTCTCGAAGGGAGTATCCGATTTGGTCAAAACTTGGTACATTGTAATATTTTTGTCAAACTTGGATCGAGTTCGGAGATGGCTAATAACGGTCAACTTCTTCTGGTACCTACCCCACAAATAGTTGAAATTTTCCAAAAAAAAAAAAAATATATATTTTTTTTCTGCACAAAAAGAGAAAGAATAATCCGATTTTGCTCCAGCTTTGCAATCGAAATATTTGCATCATGGCTAGGTCAGGTACAAAAATGGACAATATCAGTCATCCAGTACTTCCCCCACAAAGGATCAAAATTTTGAATAATTATAACCCTTTATAAAATGTGAGGTAAGAGTCAGATTGTCTTCAAACTACACACATCACAATATTTTTAGTAACCCTAGGTCTGGCGTGAAGATAAGATATATCGGTTTGTATCTTCTGT